CGTTTTCCTGCCTATTTGGAGTGTATATTCCCTTGACAGAACCACTATCTCCACACCGACACCCGAATGTCCTTAATGCTCTTCTACGCCTACCGCTCATTGGCTATTTAAACTTTTACTACTCCACCCTTATATTACTGTACAGGCCTCATGATGGACAATCGAAAACGTACGTTTGCCGCACCTGGCTTCTTCAATGTTAACTTGGGTGTAATCGCACCGTCCTTATAACACTCTCCTTATATTCCCTCCCAGGTCCGATCTCTGAGCGTACTGAAATTACTTCAAGGTCATCTGGATTGGAGTTAGATCCACCTGCATTATGCCCCTTTCCCGTCCGTTGACGCCCTTCCCGCTGTCTGCTTTTCTATCTATCCATACACAGAAACAACCCTTGTGTGCCAGATAAATTGCAGTGCATCCCTTTATCCGCTGTTCTCCTTCCTCCGTTTCTCACTTGTGAACCCCTCCCCCCACCGCCTTTTGTCAATCTCCAACACCGTTATTATTCTTTTCTGTCATCACCGTTTCCCGCTTGTTTTCACCTGAAAATGACAGACTTAGAAGCATTTTCCTGGGTTATGTCCCGTTTGCTGGGGGAAAGCCGGGGGTTCACATCAGCCTAGCTGGTGACTTCACTGCGTCTCCACAGTTTGCAGTCAATGCCAACACCAGGCTCTACGAGTAAGTAGTTGTGGGGTCTGACTGTCCGGCAAATTGAAGAAATCTGTATGACGGCTCTATGACATGGGGACTGTGAACTGCCAAGTTTTCCTGTCAACACTACTCTGCGATTAAGCGCTCCAGCCGAATGAGGCCATCATTGTGGTTGCTGGGGAGCTGTCTGCATTAAACTTCTCGCGAAGCCTCGGGTATGAAAGGCTCAAACTGCTACTACGGCCAACCGTAGCGCGTCCGCTGGAAACATCGCGCTCTGAAGTTCTGGCTTATTGGTGCGGGGGAATAATCTGCAAATTGGTGCACTCAATCAGACACCGATCTTTGGTCCTGCATGCTAGAATGTAGGAGCATTGCTAAACCCCATTACCCATAATCTAACGGCGTAGGGTCTTAATCTGTTGAGTGCCTGCCTGAAGTACTAACGTCTTACGCCGACTGTCGGAAACTCCAGATCAACTCCTGCTTCACCCTCTTTCCCAGCGACCCATGCGACTTGTCCGTGTGTTAATTGGCACGTGACCCAAAAATGAATTTATTAAGTGAAAACCAGCCAGTGACCGGCAATTGTGTGGACGACTGAAGTTACTTTTCATCAATATAGAGAGCTCGTTTGAGTGCTAGTAGGCTTGACTCAGGCAGTTGTTTCACAGAATGTAACCATCATCAGTATGCTATGGGCCTATCTTTTATATTCCGAGGTGAGTTATATCAACTTGTCAAGAAGGCACGTGACCCTCATTTCTTGTGCTTGAAATCATGTCTTCGACCAAAACAAGTGAGAGTCACGTGCCTAATTACCGTTTTGTTAATATACCTGACATAACTATGTACTCGCCCAAGCAAACTGTTAAAAAGTGCGATGGTAAAACACGTTACTTGGAACTGATTTCCTGGGTGTTTTGGGGAAGAAATGAATATTCAGGCGACTTTAAACAGCCACTTCACTGGCCGCATTAGATTTAGGTCTCTAGGCAACAATGGTGGTGAGTTTTGCGCTTCGCTGTTCAGAACCGGCTATTTGCCATTCACACTTGCTATCCATCTGGCCATAAACGGTTTCTAACTAGATATTCAAATACGGAGCATGTGGTCAGCCAGATTAACTGCACTCGGGTCAGTCTAAGCTTTCGTGGCAGAGTTCATGCTAGAAGGTCAGTGTGTGGTGGTGGAACAACAACATCCATCGGTCAGACAATTTTTCCACTCGTAGAGGCATGCAATTTAACATCGCATCCAAAATTCCCAGGAGAACGCAATTCGGACATAAATAGCCGGTCGCATTCTGCAGGTCCACGACAGGGCTTCCATATGTCTATTGTTGCGAAGGAAGAAGCCAATCCTGCGCCCCACAAAGTGTGCCCAGCGCCGGTGACCTCCGCGTGAATTAGTTTGTAGTGAGGGAGACTTGTAAAGCATCTATCGCAGGGAGTTAGATGGATTAAACCCTGACAACTATTATCTTCAGGTCCCGGTTACTTAGCAGACATGGGAGGCCAGAATGGTAGGGACAGTTTATTCTGTACAGAAGGGATGAAGAATAGCCAAGAGGGCAACCGCCGGCCACAGCGCCACTTTTGAAGTGATGTGACCGCGGGAAACGCCACAGCGCCTGAAGCGGCTTTTACAGGTGATTGGACAGACGGATGGGCGTAGGTGGGCAGTGCATGTACACTCGTTGGCAGCGGCGAGCCTTCGCGTGAGGTCGTATGCGCGGAATGAGTCACGACACTCCTTCACCCACCAGGCTCCGGTGGCAAGACAGTGTCAAGACGACCGGGATGGTGTTAGAGGCGGTGTCTGACAGAGCTAAATAGTCCG